TTCGTAGATGATGTCAGGCCTTTTCTTGTCACGCTTATCCTTTGTTCTTCAAGGTAATGTTGGGGATGAGTTGCCCTGGTAGTATCATATGCGTGTGACCATTGCATGTGTGTCGCTCTTTTTCGAAGTGGTCGTCATACCATTTTTTCTTAGTGCAAAGCCGTAATGCATGTCGTCCGGAGAGAGGTCAGCTGGGTACTTGAAACCTCCCTTTGTGGAGATGTTCTTGGGTCGTTTGAATGTAAATTGTGATCCGCTGGGTGTGGTAGGACCAAGGACGACTGCGATTGAATGTATGTCGGGTTGCCGCCGAAGCGCGTGGCGCGACTGTTGGGGCGTAGGACCAGAATGGGCGTAGGTGCGAGGTTGTAGAATGCTCGTGGCCATCTTGGGTTGTCCATTGTGGGCGTTTGGAACTCGTAGTGGGTCAGTGGTGTTGGTCCTTGATAGTGGTCTGGTTTGCCTCGTGATGTACCCGACACTGGTTGGCAGATCGCATTCATATTGGGCTGGCTTTGCCAGCTTAATGTCGTCATGGTGGGTGTAGGGCTGACGCACCTGAGGTGTGCAATGAGTCTGCTAGGTAGTTGGCGAACGAGAAAAATCGGATCCCATGGTGACGTTGTGGTTGTAGTCGGTCGTTGTGCTGAAAATGTGTGTGCGTGTCGTTCGTAGTCTGGTTCGTCATGGTTGGTCTTCGTGCGGATGGCGTAGTCTTCGTCCATATGGAACTCGTACATGTTTACACATTTCTGGTCGTAGATATTGTATCAAATCGCCCTGAGGCTCTTCTCCGTGCTGTCTTCGTTGTAGCCTGTGTACGTGAACCGTACTCTGTTGTGGTCGATGTCGCCATTGATTTCTTACCTCGACATGTAGATTATTGGAACTCTTCTTGTATGACATGGAGGGTCCTCCTCGTCATTGAATGATTTGTTGTCTGGTCGATAATCGGCTTTTCTGTCAAATGGTAGCTGCGCGGGCCGATGTGACCAGTGTGTCTCGACGTTGGTGTGGGTACCGTAGCGTTTCCAGCCGTTGAGAGCGCCTTGTAGCCTTTCACGAAGTATCCTCCTCCTCCTCCTCCTTCTTTTCCTCCTCCTCCTCCTCTTCTTCCTCCCTCCCTCCACACCGCCTCCTCCCCCCGAACACATGTTTTCAAAACACGTGTCGACAATACTTTGGGCCCAGAACCGCTCTCCGCTCTAAGCGCTGACAGCACAAAGCGCGCGGCATGGACACGAACGTTGAGAAATCTGCCGGCCCCCTTGTGGGGCCACCAGGCTGTAGGCGCGGGTTCGCAGTTTCCTGTACCAGTTGTAGCTTGTAGTTTCCAGTGTTACAGGTTTGCTTCTTGCTGGTTACTGTAACTAGTTGATTGACCGCGCGAGGGGGGGGGAGGCCCAAACATAATTTTTAGCCTCACCTGGGCGCGTTGATTGAATTGCTGGGGGGACTCGAAATCGACACCCCTCACGCAGATCCGCGGGGTCAGGGTCCAAAAACACAAGGGATTTGCCACATTTCTGAAATTCGGTGCCACCCCTCACGCAGATCCGCCTCACGTCAGCCCCCTCACGCAGCGGGGTCAGGGTCCAAAAACACATGGGATTTGCCACATTTCTGAAATTCGGTGCCACCCCTCACGCAGATCCGCGGGGTCAGGGTCCAAAAACACAGGGATTTGCCACATTTCTGAAATTCGGTGCCACCCCTCACGCAGATCCGCGGGGTCAGGGTCCAAAAACACATGGGATTTGCCACATTTCTGAAATTCGGTGCCACCCCTCACGCAGATCCGCGGGGTCAGGGTCCAAAAACACAGGGATTTGCTACATTTCTGAAATTCGGTGCCACCCCTCACGCAGATCCGCGGGGTCAGGGTCCAAAAACACATGGGATTTGCCACATTTCTGAAATTCGGTGCCACCCCTCACGCAGATCCGCGGGGTCAGGGTCCAAAAACACAGGGGATTTGCCACATTTCTGAAATTCGGTGCCACCCCTACGCAGATCCGCGGGGTCAGGGTCCAAAAACACAGGGGATTTGCCACATTTCTGAAATTCGAACCCATCACGCACATCCATCGCAAGGCGTGGTAACCCAAACTGCGAGAACTCCCTCGGCCCTTTAATCGCAAGGTGTGGTAACCAAGCCCGTAAACCATACACGTCTTACCAATCGCCAGGTGTGGTAACCCCTCTTGTGATCAGTTGGTTTTGCTGATTGCGACTCGGCTTCGCATGAAGTTTCGATACTGCTTCACGACAGCGCCAAGGCCTCATGACTTAGCTCTTCCATGGCCCATTCTCCGAGAGAGGGGGCCGGCGGCAGGGGGCGAAGCCCTTACGGATAATGTACATTAGGAAAACCCATTTTATTTTACATATGCAACAAAAAATCTTCCCTCCTGGCGCGGGGCGGGCGGGCCGACAGCAAGGAACCCGCCATGCTGCAGCTCGGCGTGCCGCCCGGCGCCGGCGGGGGCAGCACGTGTTCCTCGCGCGCCGGCGCTGGCCAGAAGGACTTGGACTTCCTGAGGTGCGTCAGGGCTTCTGCGGGTCCCCAAGGCCGTCGCGGGATCATGGATTTTCGAAGGGATCATGCTGGTCGGCTGCTTTCTGCGTTCATGCGCCAACGTCGGATCTCAGGAGTCTCAGGGGTGGCGCGGCCCGAAGGGTTAGAGGCCTCCTAGATGGGGTCCGATTGGATGGGGTCGGGGGATCGGGCCACATCCCCAATGCATCGGCGATGTACCGGTCACGTCGGCGATACATCGACGACGTCGGCGTGGATAAAATCGGGCTCCCCATCGAGCCGACTCGCCGATGCTCCGACTCCGTCCGACTCCGTCCGCTCGGACCCCATCCGGGAGGACTAGAAGGGTGCGGCCCTCGGCCGCTGCCCGGCCGCTGCCCGGCCGCCGCCGCCCTCCGCGCCGGGCCAACGTCGGGTCTCAGCAGTCTCAGGGGTCTCAGCAGTCTCAGGGCCGGGCAGCGGCCCAAGGCCACGTGGCCCTCGGCCGCTGCCCGGCCGCTGCCAGGGCCGCCGCCGCCCTCCGCGCGGGGCAGCGGGCCGCTAGGGGCTGCCGCAGGAGAGGCTGGGCCCCAGATGGCTCCAGTTGGCCGCCCAGCAGGGGCGCTGGAGCTATACCCAGACCCCCTCGCGCTGCGAACAAAATTCACGACTGGGTTTTCGCTGTTTTCGGCCGGGTCTCGGGACCGTGAAAAGAAGACTCAGGATGAAAAACCAGTCCCTGGGAAGGGGTCCAGACCTCTGGGGGGCGACGTTGTGACAAAACGACGAAGACGTCGGGGATCTAGGTAAGACGAAGCCAGGACCGGGGCAACGAAGAGGACAAACGACGGCGAACGACGAACGACGGACGACGGACGACGATGACGATGACGATGACGACGACGACGACGAAAAACGACGTCGTCGTCGTCATCGCCGCTCGCTACTTTTACTCTCCGGCTCCCTTCCTTGGCCTCGAGACGAGCCTCAACATGGGCCAGGGCAACCCCCGAGACAGGCGGCAAGACTGGCCCAAGACGGCCCAGCCATCCCTCAAAGGCTCTGGGTCCCGAAGAGGCCCGCCACGCGAAGCCCCCCAGACGGAGCCAGGTCTGGGACAAAAGCAGGGACAGAGTCGGAGCAGGACAAACCCGAGATCTCTGAGATCCAGCGGCTCTGGATGACGTATTGGGCGCTACGGCCGTCCGAGAGCGTTGCGGAACGCTCTGGAGTGATTTTGATCCCGGTCCTGGGCCTGCCCGAGGAGCGCCAAGCACCAGGGGAGATCTCGAGGAACCCACCAGGCATTCGAAACCACGGGGGGGTTTTGACAGCAGGATCGATCTATGTACGTAGCACCCGGCAGATGCGGATGAGAGTGAGGGGGCGGTGGGGGCATCGGCAGTGTGCGAGACTCTGGAGAAGCCCGCCGCAGGCGCTAAAGTTTCACAAATTATACAACGAGCCCGCCGCAGGCGCCGCTTTTTTTGTTAAACCAATGTGGGTAGGTCGCGGGTGGGTCGCGGTTGGGTTGCGGGGTGTGTCGCCGATGGGGTGCGGGCGCTCCACCTCCAGCTGGAAGAAATTCAAAAACAGCCCGCCGCAGGCGCCGAACATTTTGATTTGTACACTGAACGCGGTTTGGGTCGCGGGTGGGTCGCAGGTTCTCCGCCTGGAACGAATGCAAAAGAAACCCGCCGCAGGCGCCGAAAATTTTGGGTGGGTCGCGGGGTGGGTCGACGAATGAAAAAAACGATTTCAAGATCTTCCTATCTGGCAGCTTGGACGTGGAAACTCGCACATATGCAGGCGTTGGCTTCCTGGTGAGCCCCAAAATCCTGAAGCCCACTGTCGCCTTCAAGGCCTGTTCAGACAGGTTGGCCACACTTCGAATGAAGGTGAAAGGTGGGATGCTGACGCTGATCACTGCATATGCTCCTCAAAGCGCCCTGGATTATGAGAAAGGCCAGGCCTTCCACTACGAACTACAAGACCTTATTCGGGCTACGACCGCGCACAGTACGACCATGGTCTTCGGGGACTTCAACGCGCAACTTCTGCGGCGGGGGCCGGGAGAGGAGGATATGATCGGGCCTCATGTGTTCAAAAACCTCCATGGGAACCCCAATCACGATGAACGACACAATGGGAATGCCAATGCGCAGCTATCTAACCGGCAATTGCTTTTAGAAACTTGCGTGGCTTACGACCTCGCCATCGCGAACACATTCTTCGACCACCCAGATTCGATGAAAGTCACGTGCCGGAACTTGGGAGTCAACCCAATGGACAACAATATTACGTCGTCGACGTTTTCACATATTGATCATGTATTCTGCCATCAGACAATGATTGACACCATCACGGATTGCTGGAGCAGCCGCGCTGACGCATTAAATAGTCGACATGTCCTTCTGATTGCGGACGTGCACATCGAGTTCGAGACGCAACAAAAGCAACCGAAGCAGAGAGTGGATACACAAGCTTTGGGCGACCTGGGAGCACAACGCAGCTTTTCGAATGCATTCGTCAACGCGATGCTTCAATCGAATGCCACGGACAACTTGGACACCGCAGCAGCCGATCTACAATATGCTTTTGCTGAGGCTGCAGCCGTCTTGCCGGTATCGAGATCGTCAGCGAGACGCCCGTGGACGAGCCAGGGCACACTTGACTTGATTGTCGAACGCAATGCTTATCGACGGGCTGGAGATCACGACAATGAGAAACGACTTCACAGACTGATCCGAAAATCTGGCAAGAACAACCGAGAAGTATGGCTACACGATCTTACTATGACTGGTAGTTGGAATGCTGTTCAACACCTGCGAAAACCAAAGAACACACAACATGCCACTATACAGCGCCCCGATGGCACTCCAGCCGACACGGAAGAACGAGCAGATGTCATAGCGGACTACTTCGAGAACGAGCACTGGGAGTACAAATTTGGGGACACACGTCCAGAACAGAATATACCACTGGGCAATGCGCTTCCTGTCGACACGTCTCCTTTCACCAACAATGAACTGAAGGCAGTACTGCGAAAGCTCAAGAAAGGGAAGGCAGCCGACCCCGACGATATCCCGCCAGAGTTTTGGAAAATCTTGGGCTCATATTCTATTGCTTGCGGCATATTATTGGACGTGGTTCGGAAATACTGGGAACAAAAGTCAATTCCAGAAATTTGGAGACGTTCGAATGTCGTGCTGTTGTTCAAAAAAAGAAGTGCGGCCCTACCCGCAAACTGCAGGCCGATCTCTTTGTTAGCGGTTGGATGCAAAATCCTAGCTGCACTTCTACACCGACGCCTCGTTCAGGGGGGAGCAGAGCTTCGATTACGACAGTCTCAGTATGGGTTCAGACCTGGGAAGGAACCAGCGACGCGCTTATGTTAGTGAAGCGTATCATCGATGCGGCGCACTTGGACAACGACGGGGGGCTTTCTCTACTGATGCTTGATTGGGCCAAAGCATTTGACAGGATTAAGCCGGATTGCATGTGTGACGCACTCCTCCGCTTCGGTGTTCCCCCCTGCATGGTTCAACTTATACGGTCCATTTACGCAGCAAGATATTTCACCATCCTGGACCACACAGGTACGTCATCTGAAAGAACACAGCACGCTGGGATTGCGCAAGGTTGCCCCCTGTCACCTTACTTATTTATCATCGTTCAAAGTGTGATGCTGCATGATGTATTTCGCACTGTTGATATCCAAGCAGAGCCGGCATTTATAGTGACGCGCGATATCCTCTACGCTGATGACACGCTGAAGATTTGAACGGCTTGCTGGCGGCAATCGTTGCTGAGGGAGAGAAGTACGGACTGGAGTGAAGCTGGGAGAAAACAGCTCAAATTAATATCTCAACGGACAGCAAGATTTCCAGGCCGACTGGCGAGCCGATCAAGTCAGTCCGCGAAACCGTTTATCTTGGCGGGCTTATCACTTGCGACGGGAAAGCGACGACCGAGGTGACCCGGCGATTGGGGGAAACGACCAAAACTTTCAAGCTGCTGGACCGGATCTGGGCGCACGCGTCAATCGGGAAACAACGTAAACACAAAATATATTCAAGTTGCGTGCTCAGCAAACTCATGTACTCCTTGGACTCTGTGTGGCTCTTAAAAGCAGACAGGTCGAGATTGGACAGCTTCCACTGCAAATGCCTGCGGCGTATGTAGGGTATTCCCCACTCTTTTGTTTCCCGTGTTCGCAACAGCGACGTGTTGCAGCGAGCGTCGTCGACGCCGTTATCTGAGATTCTGAAGGAACGCCAGATAGCTCTGCACAGTCGAATCGCCAGCTCCCCAGACCCATCCCTGATTAAAGACATCTTGTGCGATGCGGACGGCATTCCCAAAAACTGGGCCCGCCGCCGGAAACGAGGGCGCCCGCGACAACAGTGGGCGACTTCGGTGTATGCTTCGTCTTGTTTGTGACTCCACTTCGCCCGCTCCTCGTTCCCTTCCCGCTCCTCTTTTGTCTCCTGCTTCGCAGCCATGATGCGCAACCCGTTTTTCTGCTTCACAGTCGAGCGGGTGCACTTTAGATTTCCACGAAGAGCTGCCAATCGTGCACTCTTCTGCCCACGCGTCCTTCCGGATGCTCGGCTCAGCCTGCCTGCCGCGGGGTGGGTCGCGGGTGGGTCGCGGGTGGGTCGCGGTGGGTCGCGGGTGGGTCGCGGGCGCGGTTTGGGTCGCGGGTGGGTCGCAGGTTCTCCACCTGGAACGAATGCAAAGGAAACCCGCCGCAAGCGCCGAAAATTTTGGGTGGGTCGCGGGGTGGGTCGCGGTGGGTCGCGGGTGGGTCGCGGTGGGTCGCGGGTTGGTCGTGGGTGGGTGGGTCGCGGGGTGGGTCGCGGGATGGGTCGCGGGTGGGTCGCGGGTGGGTCGCCCGTGGGTCGCGGGTGGGTCGCCGGGGGTGTCGCGGGGTGGGTCGCGGGGTGGGTCGAGGGGTGGGTCGCGGGTGGGTCGCGGGT